ATTTTATAAGTATTATTTAAGTTGGTTTTAACAATTTATGTAATTATAAGTAAATGTGACTATAGAGAAAGTAAATATAAAGAAGAAAAAATGTAATTATAAAAAATCTAAATTTTAAATAATAAAAATTTTTAAACAAAATCTTAAATGTTTATTATTTAAAAGTTTGTTAATAATTTATAAAAAAATTTATAATAAACATTTATAAAATATGTTTTTAAGAATTTATTCTATAAGAAATATATATTTTATATTATTAATAAATTATTATTTTATTAAAAAAATACTAATTACAATTTATAAGTATAGTGGCTTAGTAAAATAAATAAGTTATCAATTCTTCAAATAGTAAATTGAGTGTTTAAATTCTATTGACAATGAAAATTTGAATAATCATCTATATAATACTTATATTATGACAACTGTTTTTAATGATTAGATTAAGATACTTGTAATAGCAGTCATACTAGCATGACTGACAAATTATAAAATATCTGTATAATTAGTTATACAGAAAAATATAAACTAGCATTGAATAATACAAACTCTAAATAAGTTCTTGTAACTATATAAATATCTGTTAAAATTAAAAAATAAGAAGTCTATTTAAGAAAACCTAAGTAAAAAAATAGTATAGATCTTTGATAGCACTACTATAAAGACTAGACTACTGAAAATAAATACCAATATTGAATTACCTAGACAGGCAAGAATCTCTAGATTGAAAGTTATAAAGATACCACCAATCCAACTACTAGAACAAACTAAAAATAAGAATATCAGACTAATTTGATATATTAATAAGCTGATTATAATCTTATATAAACTATTTGAATTGAAAGTTTGAAGAACAAACAGAGATATACTAAAGTACTAATAATATACTGTGAAGTAAATGCTAAGATTTGAGTAAACTTTATAAAGACATAATAATTTAAGATAAAACTCTAATTGTAAGTATTAATTCTACTATAGTGATATTAAGTTAACTGTAAAAATAGATACAGAAGGCTCTAAAAAGTTTATCTTAAAAATAAAATAATCCTAAAATTAAAACAATAATCTAAGCATAACCTAGTAATGTTAATATAGATTGCAAATTTAAAGAGTTTAAAATAGAATACTCAAGCAGAGATGTTAGATATAGCAATTGATAAAAAAACCTTTGGATAGACTTCTTAAATAAGTAATATAGAAAAGTTATACATATAACCAATTGTATATTCTTTTTATAATGGTTTATAGAATTACATTACCAAAAAAGTTATTAATAAAAATTAAAAAACTAAATACAATTTAATTTTTTAGACAAATTTATCTAAAATATAGTTTAAAAAACATTTTTTTTGTATATTAATAATTGTTAAAGATAATGATAAAATTGTCTAAAGCTAAAAAATTAAAATCAAAATTTAAATTTATAAAATCTATTTATAATTATTAATTATAAATTTTATTCATAAAACTAATCAGGATATGATAACCTAGTAAAGTAGATAGATTGTCAACCCTCAAGTAGCAGGTCTAAGGTTCAACTCTTATAGATGACAAATTTTGGAAATTATATTTGTATTATAGTAACTGTCTCTTGCTGATTAGTTGGGTTTTGAATATCTGTAAGTCTAGATACACCAAGTTGAATTTCATCTAATATTAGAAACTTAGGACATTTATGTAAAGTATAACATTACATATATATAGAGAAATATAAAAAATAATGTTATATAAGGTTTTAGTGCAAACCTGTAATAAGACCATCAGGTATAAAAGACTAAAAAACCAAGAAGATGAAAACCCACTTGGAAATCCTAAGTAAAAAAGTAGCATAAACTTTTGATAGTATTATTGGACCAATAAAAACCTATAAAACACCTTTATAGGAACTGTTACACTGGACCATTTGAATTGAAAGTCTAGAAAATCAGTTAGTTCTAAATTATAACTAGTAGATAATGATGATGAAGAAGTCAGAAAGATGAGTACCAAGGTTTGAATGAACTTTACAAAGGTAATAACAGTTTAATAGGTAACTTTAACTGCAAGTAATGGTTTAGACCATAATGTCAAACCAGATTAGTGATGAAAGAGAATATAACTTGCTCTAGTAGGTTTATCTTGAAAATAAAAATAATCTAAGAATTATAATCCTATGATTAAAAACAAATAGATCTGGGTCTGTAATCTAATAAAATTAATACTAGGATCAGATCAGAGGGTTTAAATAGAACATCTAAGCAGGAATGTTGGGTAGGACAACTGGTAAGGAACCTTCAGGTGGACTCCTTAAATAGGTAATGTAGAAAAGTTACATGTGTAGCCAGTTATACACTTGTCTGATAGTTCAATATGGATATGTCTATATAAAACATGTACCCTTAATAAAAAGCTAGGACCAAAGAGGTCACCTTAATACTAAAAAAAAAAAATTCATAAAACTAACCTGATTTTTAAAAAAATTATAAAAATATATTCTAGAATTTTTTTTAGATTTTATAATAAAATAGGTTAAATTTTTAGCTTCCGCCATTACAATAATTTATAAATCAAATTAAAAAGCTAAAAAATATTAGTTTATTAAAAACTTTAATTTTTAAAAAATTAAATTTTACCAATTATTATTTGTAGATTAGTTTATAAAATACATAGTAAATTCGATAAATAAGATTTGTATATAAATTATTTTAATAATACTTATCATGGCTAACACTAAGGTTGGTTAAAAATGTTAAAATTTGATATCTTTATTTAAATCTACTGAATCTATCTAAAATTTATTTACAATCAATCTGGATATAATTAACTTCATAATGAACTTTTTTTAAAAAAAATATTAGAGATCGTTATAGAAACAGAGTTCTATAAGAAAGTTTTAAAAATATTTTACTGTAAGAACCGTCAGTTTGTTATAAAGAAAGTAGATCTAAGAATCTAAAAAAGTCTATTTGAAGAAATTTTTAAAATTTCTTATTGAAATTCTCAGCATCAACCAATATCAGCAACAATAATTACGGTAATATACTGTATCGTTAATACGTAATGTTTAAAACATGTATTTATTTATAGATATGAATAACTTACCATTACTAAACCAGCTATTAATTGTTTAATCGCGTGATACTAATGTGGATGCTAATGTGACAGGACAAAGCCTTCAGCAAGACGAAATTCTTGATGTAAAATGGTACAAGATGCCCATTAAATAAAAAGGTTCTGGTCTCATAGTAATTTAGTATAATTATTCGTTTTCTTTAGTTTCAAGATTCTTGAAGATCAAATATGAAAGAAACTATAGCATTCAATCCGAGCGATGGCTGGAATCAAACTGTGCGTACATTGTGCGTTTTTCTCCCAATTAATCGTAAAGATTTCGTAATATATTATAAACTGAATGTTAAATCACATACAAAACTTATCTGGTTACGGAAATTTCAAAATTTAGAGGTTTTAATAAAATGCAATCAGGGTTTAAAGAATTAAAACTTTATGGTTAGTACAGAAAGACGTCTCTTAAGTGCATTTCATCGGAACCATATAGATGATTAGACAAAACGGTGCATCTAAAGAGGGTTTGCATTTATAAAAAGCGATTTATAAGAGCTATATATACTTAGGAGTGAGTCAGTATGTGCATTTAAAGAGAACATAGGTACATGGCCGTACATCTATAGAGTGCATTTAGAGAGGTCTTTCTGTAATGCATTTTTTATAGAAACGTGCAGAACTATGTTTGGTGCAGAATTATGTTTGTCACATGATTTTAACAACAACCCACGGCAGTGATATGGTTTTTTCTTTCCCGTCAAAGTTTACATAATACCTGCCGGATAATTATGTATTTTAGTTAGATTGGCCAGAGAAGCAATGCATGTGAAAGAAAATATAAAACGTTGTCAGTCAACAAAGCCTGTTTAATAGTTCAATATCTGAGTGCATATACATAAAATGTTACATATGTATTATACGTTTTGTACATAGTTTGAAATTAATCTTCATTTAAATATAACTATATGTACCTCAAATTAATTATGAACATGTTTGAATTTTATTATATGTATTAAAGCCAGGTTTGATAATCTAATCAAATTCAGAGATATATTTTTTCTATTTATAAAAGCGTAACTATTTCTAAATGGGTGAATCAAAAGGTCAAAAAAACAAAAAAAAACCCCCCAAAAATTTGTTACGATAGCAATATAATTATCACTTTTTTTTTATTCATGACGATAAATAAATTTATTTTCTTTATGATTTTATTATTTTATTATTAGTTACGTACATACCTCATATCACACCAGAACCTTTTTTTACAAAACTATCTATCCAGGACGAAGCGAACACCAATATATTCTAGATCAGTGTACAAATATGATTGAAGCATTTATGTAAGATGCGCATCGTCATATTAATATACATATTAACTCTGTCATCTTTGCATACGTGTTTTTATTAACATAATCAAACGTAAGAGTTTAGCATAATGACATAATAATGTATTTCTAGAGTACAAACGATTTAATAATAATTCGTCAGATCAGACGCATGGGAAAAAAATGAATAAACAATTATTTCCTGTAGGAAAATCATGGCCCTCATTGAAAATCAAAAAATATGCATTGAGCATCAAAAAGGTTCCTTGCATTCGTTCGATAATTCTAAACCAATCAACAATCTAACCACTCGTATTTATTGTATTTCAAATGCCACGGATTATTAAGAATATTAACCCACTAAAAAAAGATCAAAGTAAGACAAATAACTTACTCTTAATTTTGTTATATTAAATATAGAAATCATAGTGTATTTCTTGCATGTATTAAAACCATTTGTTATATATATATATATATATATATATAGCTGTCAGTTTAAGTAATTTTTATTGCTGCTTTTCTAAGTTCTGTTTTTTTCGTGTATTCTCTTGTTCTTATTGTGTTCCTAACACTTTGTCCAAAGAAATGAACGGTACCAACGCACACGATAATAATAACACAAACAAAAATAACATGTATCCGAATGAAGAACATCTAAATTGCTTGGATCAATTTAGATTTATTGACGGTCGTAGATACCATAACGAAGATAATGCAAATTATTATTTCCCTAATGATAAGCAAGAATCCGATAGATTACGAACTCAGCATTTTTGGGTTTATGAAGTCTGGAAAGGAAACTTTTCTTCACCAATAAAACAGAAATTAGAAAAGGGAAATATGACTGTGCTTGATATTGGATGTGGTGATGGAACTTGGATTCTTGATTGTAGTGCCATATATCCAAATTCAACGTTTGTTGGTGTTGACTTTTCTCCAATGTTTCCATCACCAAGTAGCTGTCCTCCCAATGTCGGCTTTCTACAACACAACGTTCTCGAAGGATTACCATTCCCTGAAAATACTCTTGACTTTGTATTTATGAGATTTATGTCTACATTTACTCAACGAGATTGGGAACAATTGATGAGTGAGGTTATAAGAGTCCTCAAATTTGATGGATGGGTAGAAATTATGAATTTTGCTCCAGAAACTACAAATATTGGCCCTGCATCAAAACTACTGTGTGATTCATGTGAGTTATTTAATGTATTTACTATATTTATAAATTGTATTCCTTTTTTTTCTTATCCCGAATGGGGTTTTTTTTAATATTTCAAAGATCATAGCTTTTTTGAATCAAAAAATATCAAACTTCATTCAAGTTTCGATATAAAATCCTTGTTTGAAAAATCGAATCGTATCACAGATATTGATTGTGATGAACGGAGTAGTCCGATAGGAAAATGGGCTGGTAGAGTCGGACAAGTTGTAAGTTTTTTATTCCGCATTCATTTAATTGTTAAAATCGTTCATTTTATTTATTCCTTATTTATTTATCATATATAGGCCTTATTAAATATCCAATGTGGTCTTATGGGTTTCAAACCATTTTTAGCTCCATTTATGAACATATCAGATGAACAATTTAAACATTTAATTGATAAATTAGATGTTGAAGTAAATGATAATCACGCTTATAAAAGTACATATAGGGTTTTTGGAAGGAAAGCGTATTAAACATTGTATGTTTAAAAACGCCTCTGGATTATAAATTTGTTGATGAAAGATTCTGCATGGTAAATAATTAGTTATATATTATTACATTATTTCATACCTATTTCTCATGTGAAATGTTGAATTTTTTCAATTAAATGTTTTTGAAAAACATTTTATTGTTGCTCATGAGTAATTACTTAAACATTTACTATCATTTTAAAACATAAATAAAAAAAATACATACATTTTTAGCATATATTTGATTCATTCTCATATGTACAAGACTGTCACATTCTGTAACAAAATATTTTTAAATAAACTTTGTAAAAAATATGTTTAAAAATTATAATCCGTAAATGAATTTTACTTTACTAAACAACTTATGGCGTTTTCCATTTATTTATAAATAGTCATCTCTCTATATCGAACCTTATAACGAACTACACACCTTCGGAATACAAAATTTGGTGATTATATAGAGGTGTGACCAACATCTATACAGTCAATCCCCCAAGCGAGTGCAAACTTTCTAAGTGCAGAATCCCAAGTGCACTCTAGGAGAGACTGTATTAGGGGTTTGCATGGTTGCAAAATAATATTTCATTATCCGGTAGCTTACTATGATTTACCTGCCCAATAATTTATTGTCGGAGATGATGCTGAAATTAACTTATTTTATATGAAATTCTAATTTTTTTTTTGGGTGTTTTGTTCAGTTTTTTTTTTCATAGGCTAAAATTATATTTTCAAATTAAGGTCCCAGATTTCAGCATCATTCCTGACATTTATTATTGAACAGAAACGAAAGTTTAAAATAGCTTAAACTTTGCATCTGCCCAATAATTTATTATTGGACAGAAAATCATAATAAGCCTCCTGATAAATTTATATTATCTGCATATACTTAACATAATACTGAATATTAATATATGGGGTTGAGTCAGTAGTAATTAAGCAAATTGTTTTTATTAGATTGTTTTAACAACTTTAAATGCTAATATCTTAACAACAACTTAATTAAATTTAATAAAATTTGTTTTAAATAAATTCTACAACTTTGTAGAACTTATTTAAAAAATTTTTATTAAATTTGATTAAGTTGTTGTTAAGTTATTGTTATTTAAAGTTTTAAAAAAATTTACTTAGAAAAAATTTGCTTGATTTTTACTGACTCAAACCCATGTATAGTATATTAAAAGATTATTTAACAAATAAAACATAACTTTTAAATAGTTTTTAAAGTTTTAGATTTCAAGATTTTTTAAATTAAAATTTTATTAGATATTAAGTTAAATATTAGTTTAATTTAATAAATTTAAATTTTTTTTTAAAAAAAAAAATTTTATTAATATTCTTAAATGTATTAGAAAATTTAATCTTCTTTTATATAATTTTTCTAAAAGTTAAATTATAGAATAAAAATTTAATTAATTACAATTATTATTATATATAAAATTTTAGTTTTTTAAAATAAATCATTGCAGAGGTGTAGTGACCTAGTGAAGTGGATAGGTTGTCAACCTTCAAGTGGCAGGTCTAGAGTTCAAAATCCCAATAACAGTAAAAAATTTGCAATTTTTTCTGTGTTATGATTAACTGTCTTCCATGATTAGTTAGGATAAAATACTTGTAAACCATGTTATATCAGCATGACTGGAAGGTCTAGGCACTTGTACAACATTGTATAAAGAAATACAAAACTGGTACTGGGTAATGTAAACTTAAGATAAGTTCTTAGACTATATAAATTACAGGAACCAGATAGGAAAATGGAAGCTTACTTGAAAGATCTAAGTAGAGAGGTAACTCAAATCTTTGATGATGCTATTGTAAAGACTAGACCTAAAAAATGGAGTTAGAACTTGTAAAACTAGACAAATATGCTAGTTTTTGAAAAGAGACTAGATGAACCAATTAGGCTGCTAGAATTTTCAGATTTTAGAGAAAAAGGATACATACTAGGAAACATGTAAACCAGAAGTATATAATTATGACTTGTCTTTTCAGACTATCTGAATTGGCAGCTTGATAGAACTTAAATTAAATACCAAAATAGTAGGAATATGTTGTAAAGTTAGTATCAGGATTAGAATGAACTTTACAAGAACATAGCAGTTTAATGATATGCCTTGACTACTAGTATTAGTCTTGGTCATAACAATATCAGGTTAGTTGTAAAAATAGAATACAGAAGATTCTAAAATATTTATTACAAGATTAAAGGTTTCTTATATGAGTGAACTGCTTTAAAGACTTAGTGGCCATGGCATATTTTCACTAGCA